TTTCAAATGTTTACTTATTCATTCTGTCTACCATGAGATAATTTATTTTAGTTTTCATAATTTCAGCCCCATTAGTATTTTTCTAATAAGATATGTTAATGTACAATGTTTTGGTCAAAAGGAGAGAACAGAGTTTCTGAAGTTGGGCACTCAGTGTGTATGAACCATAGTGTCTGGGTCTTGAATCTTCACAGTACCCGGGTCCACAGTCCCAGGACATGCACACTTGTGCTCTGTCCACTAGGCTCAGCCCCACAGGCTGCCCTTCTTCCCACCATCTCCCCAACGTGTTGGCTTCACTTACCTGTGTCCCACCTAAAAGCTTTATATGTGCAGTTCTGTCTGTCAAGACTGCTTTTCCTGCCTTCTTTCTCAAACCACTCCCCTCCCCAGGGTAACTCAATGAATTCTCAGTGTCAGTAAAAGTTGCTCAAGGAAGCCTAGGTCAGGTTCCCAGCTATGCCTTTCCTAGCACTGCCTTCTGCTTCACAATTCATTCTACAGTTATTTATTGAGCACCAAATGTAAACCCAGCCATGCTCTAGGCATTAGTGGAAAAGCTGTGAATATATCACAATAAAATCCCTGTCTACAGGGAGTTCACATTCTGGTAGAGTAATAGAAGCTCTCTTTAGTCGAAGATATAATTGTGTACTCTACATATTCTGTTTAATACTTGCAGTAAGTCCAGGTGAGAGTTCTTAGCATTACGTTTGTTTACATATGAAAATGCAGATTTAGACAGGTTAGATAGCTGGTGGTAGGTCACAAAGCTGGTGAGATGCCAGGTCAGCCAGGTGAACCCTGGTCAAACTCCTGCATTCTATTATGTTGCCTTGACATGTATTTGGTATGTGGAAGAATGAATGGTTCCCAACATTTTCTGAGCTATTGGTTCCCTCTGGACTTTTGAATAATGGAATAATCCATGATTTGGAGTGACAGGCATTTCATTTAGGCAATTATTGGGAAACTCAAAACTATACCTGCATCTGTATGGCAGCAATATTATTATATTTGAATGCTTATCTTCATAGAGGAAATTAGAAAGACCTAACTTAAACTTATTTTTTAACCTTCTCTGGGTTTCCAATCCACTGGTTTCCGTTAATGTAAGGAGTGTCGGGTCACTTGGGACTACTTTGGATACAGGAAGACCATCCAGGGTAAAAATCAATGGGTAAAGAGAAAGGAGGAATCAGGAGCATCAGAAGTCAAAGCAGGTGGCTTTGCTATTCTGCTAAAGGGTAAACCCATTAGAACATCTTTGTTCTGTGTTGAATTTTCTCTGGAGACGAGAAGCAGACATGGCTGTATGAGGTTATGTAAGACCATTAGCCTATTTGATGTACCTTTCTTTTCACTTCCCTTTTTTGGTTTGTTTATTTTCTTCTCACTGCCCTGGGGAGTTAGCCCATCATGTGGTTTTGATGGAGGCATGTAGTAACATTTTAAAGTGTTATAAAGCTGCTTATGAAACAGTTCCAAACACATCAAGTAGGAGGGGTAGATACGATAAAAGGACTTGTGGGTAGAGTATAGCAGAGACCCGATGGAAGAGCATCTGAAGGTCAGTTTGTGGTCATTAGCATCTTCGTGGGTCAGGTTGTCCAATGAAGGACACATGCCTTCAAGCAATAGGAGCAAAAGCCCTAACAATTTACACCAAAGACCTAATTTCTGTTCTATTTAGAGCTCTTAATGCATTTTGTGTCTTTACTGCACAGTGGTGATTTCTTGGCCAGATCTGGTTGATTAAGGCCTTTTGACTCTCACAACTTAGAAAGAAAATGAAACAAGTTGCTGACATATAAAATTCAGGTGTCTTCACATAAAAGTCAAGAAGTCTTGCTTCTCTTAAACTATCAGAAACTATGAGTACCTTGGACGCGTATTTCCCCATTCCCCCACGTAGACACCTGACTAGGGCTGACTTCTGGCTCCTATGCTTAGACGGGACCTGTGCTCTCGGCTAGCTGTGCTCCCTGTACCCTTGGTCATAGTGGGTTTGAGCATTCATGTTCTCTGCCTGAACTCTAATGGAATTTGAGGTTGTGTCTCCTGTTCTTTTCTGTTAGTGGTAAGTGGTGTGTGTGTGTGTGTGTGTGTGTGTGTTCCAGATCTTCAGGTGGAGGAGAGGGAAGTCTATGTACATTAAAGAAGAATGTTTGGTACTATAGTTGTTTTGGTTTCATTTGTTTTTGATAACAATATTATTTTAGCGATTTAAATGTCATTAAAGGAAGGTTGTAGATTTATTACATTTCTTAAAAGTGGGCATTGGGGGCCGGGTGCGGTGACTCACGCCTGTAATCCCAGCACTTTGGGAGGCAGAGGCGGGCAGATCACAAGCTCAGGAGTTGGAGACCAGCCTGGCCAAAATGGTGAAACCCCATCTCTACTAAAAACACAAAAATTAGCTGGGCATGGTGGCACATGCCTGTAATCCCAGCTACTCAGGAGGCTGAGGCAGAAGAATTGCTTGAACCTGGGAAGCGGAGGTTGCAGTGAGCCAAGATTGCACCACTGCATTACAGCCTGGGCGACAGAGCAAGACTCCATCTAAACAAACAAACAAACAAAAAACACGTGGGCATTGGGTAAGAGTGATTTTCCAAGAGTAAAATGAATGGGTTATGATATAGATTAAGCATTCCACCACTAGTATTAAAAATAAGATAGAATAGAAAATAATAGCATGTTATAGATTGATGATAGATTGATAGGTATACTGGCTAAAAATCTAAACTTTATTTCCTACGGTGCGTTGCAGTTAACAAAGACTTTGAAAGCAACTAGATTGTCCAAGCTGGAGAAACATAGCTGCAAGGTTTGGTATTAATCTGTCACACTACAAGTGTTTCTGAGTAACAGGTACTTTCATTACTTCTGGAACCAAGGTTGGCATTTAAGGAAGTAAATAAATATACAGTGACCTCTGCCCCAGGGGAAACCAGTGGCCACTTTTTCCTCTGAAAGAACTGATTAAGATTACTTCCTTCTCTTAACAAATTAATATTTCCGTGTTTGATGGAAAAAAGATGTATGAAAAACAAAACCTTACAGAATTGGATGCCAAGCAATAGAGTCAAGTTTGTATGATGGCTTAAATAAGGACAAGGTAGCAGAAAGGGTTTAAGTATTTTGAGATGTCTTCAGGGAAGAAATGAGACTTTATTGAAAATGCCTTGAATTTCAGTTTCAGATCTTCTTTGGATTAAAATGACTTAATAATTAAAATCACATGATCAACCTCATGAGCTAGTTCTTTAGATTAGCTTATTGAAAGAGCCATCATTTTTTTCCCTCTGTTTCTTCTTCTTTTTTTTCTTTTAGTGGCGGGTGAAGGGGGATGGTGCCTCTGTCTATCACCCAGGCTGGAGTGCAGTGGCATGATCTCGGCTCCCTGCAACCTCCACCTCCCAGGTTCAAGCTATTCTCCCTGCCTCAGCCTCCGGAATAGCTGGGATTACCGGTGCCTCCTGCACCATGCCTGGCTAATTTTTGTATTTTTTAGTAGAGATGGAGTTTCACCATGTTGGCCAGGCTGGTCTTGAACTTCTGACCTCAGATCATCCGCCTACCTTGGCCTCCCAAAGTGCTGGGATTACAGGTGTGAGCCACCGCACCCAAACTCCCTCTGTTTCTTCATACATGGCTCATATTCATAAAATTCATGAAATTTAATTCAAATTTAATGGGTTTTGGCCCATTACTTAGGCCATGCCTTATATATAGAAAGCTGTCATTTGACTGCGGTACTGGACCAACTGCAAAACATTAGATACCTCTTCCTCGTTTTATTGCATTAATTGCATAGACTGGGCTAGACTAAAAAAAAATAACAGTGGTTTAGGCTGAAAATTTGCTTTGTTTCTATGTTGTGCTAAACAGTTCTTTAGATGGGAGCAAAATTCAGGCACTGAAGCTACCGTTCAGTTTTTCAGCAAGAAATTCTGAAATGGAAGGAGTGGCATTGTGTCTTAGAATAATCGGGCCTTTAAAAACAAGCAAGCAAACAAAACAACCTCTTAGTTTACTGTTGGCATATGGATGTATCAAATTCAGAGCTTCTTTTAATATCCCTGTGTATGATTTTGTCCAAGTTCTTTAAAAATATTTATAATAATTAAATATATTTTAGTGTAGTTTTATATATATACACACACACGCTAAAATATGTGTATGGCATATATATACACACACATATATACTAAAATGTATTTAAGTAAAAAACATTTATTTGTTTCTTGCCTAATTGTGTGTACCAGTCTTCCTTTATTAATGAAATTTATTTCTCTTTGTTTACCTTTACCATCTGAGGTACAGATACCCTTCTTTTTAATGCTTGATGTTAATTATCAAAACCATACAGCTTTCCGTGAAGAACTTTTCTAATGTTCCAAATATTAGTTCAGCAGAGTCATACTCATGGCAAAAAAAAAATTAACGGCATTTGATCCATCCCGTTGAATGAAAGCTGGAGTAATATTTAATCTAGGATTTTAGGAAGGAAAGAATCCTTAAAGCCATGGTCTGTAGGGAAAGCGAGAACAGAAGCTAAGAGATATAGATTCTTCCTCTCCCTCTGCAATGGCAGTTTCTGATGAGGAGCTATTCACAGGCTGCACAAAGGAATGTGCTTGCACAGGTATTTCTCTTTGAGGGTGGTAAGGTGAAAGATAGGGAAGGTGAAGTGTTTATTATACTGAAAATCAAGAAACATCTTTTTTATTAAATTTCTCTTTTACTTTGTGATAGAAAGTATTCAGCACAGGTTAGCCTGGAGTCCCTTGGTCCCCTGCCCTTGTTAATTACAATTAATTGAACACTTTGAACATTTCGATTCTAGTTAACTTTGTTTAGCAAATGTGAACAAGAATCTTAATCTCATAAAAAATAATAAACGGGCACAACCTAGTGGAGTATTCCAGGATTTTAGTGCATTGAACTTCTAGGCGCTGGATTTTCAGAAGCTATTTTGTTTTTTTTTTTCACAGGATGTGTGAGACTGGTGAAGGGCTGTTTATCTTTCAGACCCGAGACGGGGAGGCCATCTATCAGAAAGTCCACTCTGCTGCCTTGGCCATAGCCGAGCAGCACGAGCGCTTGCTACAGAGCGTGAAAAACTCAATGGTATGTTTGGAATTTCTTCCTCGTGTCCCAGTGCCTATCACTGCAGAAAGCAATTGGCTCGTTTTTGTGCTGGAAAATATGGTCAGCATTATTTGAGCAGATAATTGATTCCTCTTCTCAATAGTGTATCACTTGGATTAAATGCCATTCCGGAATGCCTGATGTAGGCCGTTGGTAACCCCTTAACCATGCATCCCCATTATCTACTTTGCAACTCAATCGCAAGGGTGTGTAAAATTAATTTGCATGTGTATAGACATCTGTAGACACAACCATGTGGATCATCTACCTATGGAGATATGTCTTGCTATATCAGAAGTTATTTCAAATGTCAACAGAGGCCAGAGAGAAAAATGTAAATGAAAGAAGAGGGCTGAGGGAAACTGGAGTGAAATGTCAAAAGCCCAAGACCAGACAACTGTTGACGTGAGAACATGAGATTGTGATATCCATGTGGGTAGATCACTTGATTTTTCAAGGGAAGCCAAAGATTTGAGTCTGTGTGTAATACCTGCCAGTTGGTAACTGTTGGAAATTAATTCTAGTAAGACTCCAACACTGCGGGTGGGTCAAAGAGAACCTGTCTGTGGGTGAACTGCTACCCACAGTCATGCATGTGCCGTCTCTTATAGTCATTGGTATATAAAGATGCCCAAACACACAGCATACATAAACATGCCCTCAGAACATTTACTCTTTGCTTTACATTGTGCTAGGGACTTGGATTACATAAAGAATTATGTTCATGAGGCCAGGCGCGGTGGCTGACTCTTGTAATCCCAGAGCTTTAAGAGGCTGAGGCAGACTGATCGCTTGATCCCAGAAGTTTGAGACCAGCCTGGACAACATGGGGAGACCCTGTCTTGATAAAAATACAAAAATTAGCCAGCCATGATGGTACATGACTGTAGTTCCGGCTACTCAAGAGGCTGAGGTAGGAGGATCACTTGAGCCCAGGAGGTAAAGGCTACAGTGAGCCGAGTTTGTGCCACTGCACTTAAGCCTGAGTGACAGAGTGAGACCCTGCCTCAAAAAAAAAAAAAAAGAATTATGTTCATGAGTTTATTCTTTAAGGAGAGTAAATTCATGCAATCATAAATCATAAATGAATGCACAACGGTTAAATAATGCACATCATGCATTGTGGCTGCAAACACATACATAGAGCTTCACATCTGGAAGGAAATATACAAAACAAAGAGGAATTGGGTTGGCATGGTAAGATTTGGGTAGTTTGAAACTTTACGATTGAAACATGTGGGGTGTTTGGATTTAAAGAGTGGAGGGGCAAAGCATGCCAGTAACGTGATCTGTTCCAACACAGCCTCGGGTTATTTCCAAATGACGTCTATAGGCAGCACTCCAGGATTTTAGAGCAGGGGTCAGCAAAGCTTCCTGTAAATGTTTTATGCTTTGTGGACCAATATGGCCTGCAAGTACTTAACTGCCATTGTAGCACAACTGCAGCTATGGGAAAGATATAATCAAATGAGCATAGCCATGTCTCAAAACAAACTTAATGGACATTGAAATACAAATTTCATATAATTTTCACATGTCATGAAATATTACTCTTCTTTTCATTTTCTCTCAACCATTAATAAGTGTACTTTATTTATTTATTTATTTATTTGCATATGGGTCATTCAGAAACAGTCAGGAGGCTGGATTTGGGCCACAGGACAGAGCTTATTGTTGGAAAAGAGCAAGTGCCCCCGTGAACCACTGCTGACATAAGCATTTGTGAGAAACCAGGCTTGAAGACTTGTGTATGATCTCAGAGGTGGCGGAGGTGGGCATGCTGAGGAGGAGGCATGGAATGAATTAAGGGGTTTTGATGGTGGTTTTCATATGTCAACTTGACTGGGACACAGGGTGCCTGGATATTTGGTTAAACTTTCTTTTGAGTGTGTCTCTGAAGGTGTTTCTGAATGACAGTAGCATTTGAATTGATAGATTGAGTAAAGCAAATTGCCCTCTGCTATGTGAGTGGGTCTCATCTAATCTGATGGAGGCCAGAATAGAACAAAAGGGAGGGTAAGAGAGAATTAGCTCTCTTTGTGGTCTTGAGTTGCGACATTGGTCTCCTTTGGCCTTCAAATCCAGACCAGAAATCATCAGCATTGGCTTTCAGGCCTTAAGACTGCAGATCTTGGTGTATATATCGTACTTACTCTGTTTCTGGAAAACTGTGACTAATATAACTAATTTAGGGGTAGACATAGATAAAACAAGAGATAAATTTCAGTACCATCATACTGTGTTCAAGATCATGACCCACGAAGCCAGACTTAGTTCCAACACCAGTTCTGAAACATTCCAGCTTTGTGGAGGAGAACAAAGTTCTTGATATCCCTGAGCTCCAGTTTTATCCTTTGTAAAATGGGAGCAGTAATAGTATTTATCTTAAAGTCCTCTCTCTCTCTCTCTCGCCATCTCTCTCCATCTCTCGCCATCTCTCTCTCTTTCTCTCTAAATGTCTAAGTAGAGCAAATGTAAAATTAGATTGAGAAGGAATGGGGAATGATATAATTTAATAGATTTTAGAGAATTAGAAACTACTATAAGAAACTCTAAGAAATAATTATATTTATTATTTTCTTATTTCAAAAGGAATCTACACATTATTGAAACATTGTAGACAACACAGCAGAATAAAAAGAACATAGTAAGTCATCCCTCTGCCTGCCACACAAGAATACACCTGTTACTCACTTTGGAATGTGTAGCTTTCCAGTATTTTAACTAGGTGGATGTAGGAAATACAATTATATTGAATACATTGCTTGTGCTAGCTTTTTGCAAGAAAATACATACATATTGTCTCATTAAATATCATCTTCAACATCATATTTTATGGTCTTATTATATGGATATTTCATAGATTTATAAAACTATGCATCAAGGTTGAGCACAGTGGCTCACACCTGTAATCCCAATATTTTAGGAGGCCTAGGCAAGGAGGATCACTTGAGACCAGAAGTTTGAGACCAGCCTGGGAAAAATGGTAAGTTTTGGTCTCTATAAAAAATTTAGAAACTAGCCAGGTACAGTGGCTTGCACCTGTACTCCCAGCTACTCAGGAGACTGAGGCAGGAGGATCCTTTGGACCCAGGAATTCAAGGCAGCAGTGAGCTAGGTTCCTGCCACTGCACTCCTGCCTGGGTGACAAAGGGAGACCCTATCTCTAATATATATACACATATGTATATGGTTATATATATATTTATTTATATATATGGTTATATATATTTATATATGAGGTTTTATATATATATGAATATATAACAACAACAAAAAACCTGTGCGTCAGCTTGATGTTCAATCTGTATGCATCAGTGACTATCTGTTTAAGATAAATTCTTAAAACTTGATTGCTGAATCAAAGTCTCAGAATGCTTTTAAGGATTTGCTTTTCTTTCCAAGTAGCCTTCCAGGAAGACTTTCTTTTTGAACTAATACAATGTTGGTATTTATTTTCCCACGTACTTAGGAATTCTGGATATTTCAATAAAGAGACATCAGTGGATGGATGGAGAGAGACAGAGGGAGGGGAATGCAAGAGAGAGCGAGAGCGAGCTGTGAAGTTGAATTCAGGTCACTTAAAACTTACAGGGCGACATGTCATTGCATTAGGGTTGTGTGGCTATTCCATCAGCTCCCTTTAGGCACCTCAAGAAGTTTGTCTAAGATTGTCTTGTTCGTAGAGCCATCAATTAGCATAAATTGTTTTGTACTTGAAAGGCGGGTTCCGCCTGCTCACGCACATGTTTTTCCATTTACAACCTCATTATTTCCGCTAAAAATTAATCAGGAATATGAGTAAATCGTTTGGATTATCCCTTTGCAAATTTAACTAGAAAATAATGTCACCTGCTCTTAATTTGCTGTGTGCTTAATGGGTTCTATAAAATAAATGTGATTTTTAAAGCCACGGCATCCTGTTATAGATGGAAATGAGTAAGCTTCAATGTGGGATCTGAATCTTAAGGAGTTAAACGAGGGATTGTGAAAACTTAAATCAATGTACTGTAATCAATCTCTGATTAGGGGATACCATGCTAAAATAAAGCAAATGAAGGCAACATTACTGGGTCACCCTGCCTAGGTTATTGTTTTCCCTTTTCTGGTTATTGAGAGTGGATCCACATAGACCTGGCTGCATTCCCTACTAGGAATTGCTTTTATATGACTGCTGACTTGCTTCTATGAGATGGCCAAGATCATAACTGGAGAAAGATGGCAAAACTCATATCTGGCCTTAGCCTCACGATTAGGAAGACCTAACTCACTGCTAACTGTCCCTGTTGTAAAATTCCCGAGTGTGTCTACAGACAGAATACTGCAATGTGGGGCCCATACCAGGCAGAAATTACGTCCTGGAGTGAATTGATCAGAGTCAGCCTTATGACCCTCAATCCCAAAACTCATAAAGAAGGGGCCTGTGGGTCAGATAATAATAGTAACAGTTGTAGGAGGCTGAATAATGGCTCCCCAAATATGTCCACATTCAAGTCTGTGCAGTCTGTGAATGTTACCTTACAAGGCAAAAGGGACTTTGCAGGTGTGATCGAGTTAAGGATCCTGAGATGGTGACAGTATCCTGGTCTATCCAGGTGGGTCGAATATAATCACAAGTGTCTTCAGAAGAGGGAAACAAGAGGAGTCAAACAGAGGGCAAGGCAATGGTGGAAGCAGAGAGACAGAGAGAGAGAAGGGGTGGAGAGGGAGATTTTAAAATGCCATGCAGCTGGCTTTGAAGGTGGAAGAAGGGACTGTGAGCCAAAAGATGTTTGTGGCCTTGAGAAGTTAGAAAACGCGTAAAAACAGCCTGGCACGGTGTCTCACGCCTGTTATCCCAACACTTTGGGAGGCCGAGGCAGGTGGATCATGAGGTCAAGAGATCGAGACCAGCCTGGCCAACAGAGTGAAACCCTATCTCTACTAAAAATACAAAAATTAGCTGGGCGTGGTGGCGTGTGCCTGTAGTCCAGCTATTC